GACATTTATAAAGTAGTATATTCTCATATTCCCAATCCCACCTCCTAGCACCTCTCTCTAGCAGCTTTCAGAGACTGGAGATGAATGAGAAAATCAGAGTCCCTTCCTCCCTAGAATTAAAAGAAGTAGTTTTTTAAAAAAATTTAAGAGCAGATTAAAAGCAAAAAAGAAAAACTACTCTCATAATTGGATCTTTCCATCTGCATTTCCAGCAATCTAACAATGACATACACATAAGTAAAAGCAGACTTTGGCAATATATGGAGGCAGTAGAATGGACCAAGCAGAAGGCCTGAAGTCAGAGACACCAAGTACCTATCTCATTACTGCAAAGATAAGTGAAAGTACATATAAGATGGGCTTAGGACTGCATCTAGAACCTAACAGTAAATGTTAACTGTCATTCATCATCATTATGAGGAGTATATCATTCTGTCTAAGAGAGCAATGCTACTTGCATTTGACACTCAGCTCATAACTAAAACGAATTAATAAGTAAATGACAGTACCGATGCTCTACTGAGAATAATTTCAGTAGAATTAGTTGAATACAGTATTTGTTCCCCATACACTGGTATCTTACCTTTCAATCACCTATATTTTAGGGTGTTTTTTGCCATGTTTTTTTATACAGGGTCTTCCTCTGTCACCCAGGCTGGAGTTCAGTGGCACCATCACAGTTCACTGCAGCCTCAACCTCAAAGGCACAAGCAATCCTCCCATCTCAGCCTCCTCAGTTGCTGGGACTACAGGTAAGCGCCACCATGCCTGGCTAATTTTTTATTTTTTTGTAGAAACGGGGTCTTACTATGTTACCAGACTGGTCTCGAACTCCTAAGCTCAAGCTCAAGCGATCCTCCCAAAGTGCTGCGATTACAGGCATGTGCCTGGCCACTACCTTTTATGTAGTAATCTAGTCAGTTACAGAGGCCAAAGTAGCAAACTACCAGGCTTTATTTTATAGGCTATGGAGCCAAACAGAAAAATTATTCTCCCCACATATAAAATGACAGTTGACAAGCGTGTAGGAATTTAATGAGTCTGACTGCTTCAGCCAGGCCTCATGCTTTGGTGGATCATTTGAATTCAAGGCTTGATAGTTTTATAGATCTCCACATTTTACTTGTTTATCCAAGAGTAATCATACCTTCAGAAAGAGAATCTAAACAAGATTAAATTCTTAAACATCTAAAAGTCTTTTACAAATTATTTCAATAAAAATGGCAACAAAACAGAAAGAGGGCTAACATGGGAATCAAGAAACAGAAACTCTCACCCAACCAAGTACTCATGAGCTGAAGGACCTGGACCAGTCACCTGACTTCTGAGAGTCTCAGTTTCCTCAAGTGTGAAGTAAGGGGCTCCTTAAGATGAACCCACAGGCCCTTGAGCTTTAACTTTCCAGAGTATGTGAACCATAATCTGTAAAATGTATGAGACTCTTTTATTAGAAGTTCTCAATAAGGGACTGAGAATATCAAGGTCCCTGGGAGGGGAGGTATAATTTGAAAGGGCATATCTAACATTATAATTTCATATTTGAGAAAGTTTTCAAACTACCAATTCATAATACAAACCATAATACAAGTTCAACACAACCTTCCCAGCACATGGAATTCTGTCTGCCAATAAACCTTTACCCTCCCAGATAAGATTAGGGAGTATATAATTTTGTAAACAAGATTTTTTGATTTGACAAGGATTATCTGCTTCTCTGAACTTCCACTGCATCATCCAATTTCAGCACATCAAAATATTTTCAGATATTTACAATCTCCAAGTTCATGGATGCTTAAATAATTTATCTTCAATTAATTCTTTCTCAGTGATATAGAGTAATAAGCTTCCTCCAAAGCAGGCTGTAAGATGTGTTATGAACTATTTTTACCTCTACGGATCTCTGCATCAGTTTTTTTTTTTACTTGCCTTTTAATACAGTGATGTGCCACATAACAATGATTCAGTCAACAATGAACCACAAATATGACAGTAGCCCATAAGATTATAACGGAGCTGAAACATTCCTATTGTCTTGTGATATCGGAGCCATCATAACATCATGGTTCAATGCATTATTCACATGCCTGTGATGCTGGTGTAAACAAACTGACTGTACCGCCAGTGTTATAAAAGTACAGCACATACAATTATGTATAGTACATAATAACTGTTAATAAACGGTTACTAGTTTATGTTATTTACTATACTATACTTTTTAGAGTGTACTTCTTCTACTTGTTTAAAAAAAAAGTTAACTGTAAACAGCCTCAGGCAGGTCCCTCAGGAGATATTCCAGAAGGCACTGTTATCATAGGAGATGACTGTTCCATGCGTGTTACTGCCCCTGAAGACCTTATAGTGGAAAAAGATGTGGACGTGGAAGACAGATGCTGATGATCTTGACACTGAATAGGCCTAGGCTAGTGTGTGTGTGTGTGTGTGTGTGTGGGTGGGTGTGTGTGTGTATTCGCTTTTGTCAAAAAAGCTTAAAAAGTAAAAAAAAAGAAAAAAGCTCATAAAGATATAAAAAAATATTTTTGTATACCTGTACAATGTACTTGTTTTGAGCTGTTATTAGAAAATAAAAAAGCTAAGGCCGGGCACGGTGGCTCAAGCCTGTAATCCCAGCACTTTGGGAGGCCGAGGCGGGTGGATCACGAGGTCAAGAGATAGAGACCATCCTGGTCAACATGGTGAAACCCCATCTCTACTAAAAATACAAAAAATCAGTTGGGCATGGTGGAGGGTGCCTGTAATCCCAGCTACTCAGGAGGCTGAGGCAGGAGAATTGCCTGAACCCAGGAGGCAGAGGTTGCAGTGAGCTGAGATCACGCCATTGCACTCCAGCCTGGGTAACAAGAGCGAAACTCTGTCTCAAAAAAAAGAAAAGAAAAAAGCTAAACCAAACTAAAAAGTTTAAGTAAAAAAAGTTATAGTAAGCTAAGATTAATTTATTATTGAAGAAGTTTTTTTAAAAAATAAATTTAGTGTAGCCTAAGTATATAGTACTTATAAAGTCTACAGTAGTATGCAGTGATGTCTTGGGCCTTCACATTTGCTCACTGTCTCACCCAGAGCAACTTCCAGTTCTCCAAGCTCCATTGATGGTAAGTGGCCTATGCAGGTGTACCATTTTTAATCTTTCCTTTTCTTTTTTTGAGACGGAGTCTTGCTCTGTCACCAGCCTGGAGTGCAATGGCACAGTCTGAACTCACTGCAACCTCTGACTCCCAGGTTCAAGTGATTCTCCTGCCTCAGCCTCCCAAGAGGCTGGGGTGCGCACCATCACACCTAACTTTTGTATTTTTAGTAGAGACGGGGTTTCATCATTTTGGCCAGGATGGTCTTTATCTTTTGACCTTGAGATCTGCCTGCCTCGGCCTCCCAAAGTTCTGGGATTACAGGCATGAGCCACCACACTCAGCCCATTTGTAATCTTTTACTGTATCTTCTCTATGTTTAGATACACAAATAATCACCATTGTGTTACACTTGCCTAAGGTATTCAGTACAGTCATATGCTATACAGGTTTGTTGCCTAGGAGCAATAGGCTATATAGCCTAGATATGTAGTAGGCTGTACCATCTAGGTCTGCGTACATTTACGTATACTCTATGATGGGATGTTTGCACAATGACAAAATCATGTAATGCTTTTATCAGAACACATCTCCATCATTAAGCAACGCATGTATCTCCACTTAGCTGTAGAATCATGGATGCCACCCAACCTTCAAATCTTACCAATATGTGTCTCAGAAAAACATAAGTAAATAATTCTTATGAATATTCAGTTCACTGTTCAATGTACCTTATATTTTTAGTATCCTTTGCAATATTCAAAATATTGGCATTGGACATTTAAAAAACTGTTATTCAAAAATCTAAAATTACCTAAGATGCAGTCACTTAACCAAGCATAAGATATCATTCAGAGTGGAATAATCAAAATGCATTTTGTATATACAAAGTTAGTGGAATCTGTTTTACTTACCACAGTTTCTTAATGACAAGGTTTTCTTAATATTGCCAATCTTTTCATTAACATGAGAGCATAACAGTTCCAGATCTGAGGAGGCCATCCTTTAAGCCTCTGAAGAAAAAAAATATAAACATATTTGTAAAAAGAAAAGCCACACAAATTTCTGTTCACTTTCGAAATCCAAGAATGGTCAATATCAAGTAAATCACATGTCGTTGAGGGTTAAGTACAAAAACTCAAGAGCAATTTCTTTCAGTTCTACAACGTTGTTTCTAACCAAAGTATACAGTACTGACTTGTCTTAGAGCCTTCCGCCATCAATGGATCCCAAACCAGGGTAAAGGGGCTAAGCCTGGGTCCTTTCCTTAAGGATTTAGGAGGACAAATGCACTATTTATATATAAAGACAACACTGGTATTTTCTTAAAAAACGCAAAATATACATTTTAAAGAAATGGGTCACACTGTCAAAGAAACGGGCCCAGGTAATCATTTTTCCTATGCTGTGAGGGGTTGGCGCTTTACAGTTTGGGATTGGTAAGGAGGCAGAGAAATGGGAAAGAATCGGTTTCCCACTCACTCCGCGGGTGAGAGAGAAGGGGCGGGTCTAAGGCATCCACCGCAGCGCCCAGTCCCGTCCTCCCCTACGCCAGGCGAGGCCCGCGGCCCCCAGCCGCCAAGCAGTGTGTCTCGGGCGCTTCCGAAGTCAGGGTCCCCAACACACAGACTCCAACCTCGAGTCAGTCCGGGAGCAAAAGGCTACTCGCTGCTGGGTATCCAGCCGCGGACAACTGCAGTCTCCGCTGGAAGACCGGGATAGGAAGACACAACTCCGGAAGCAAAATTCAAACCGCCCGCCAGGCCCTGGCGCACAGCGGCACGGCGCAGGCGCACATCGGCGCAGGCGCACATCCGCACTGCCGAAGAACGGGCTCTGCGGCTGTTCGCGGTTTGCGTCATCCGGGGCCACAGCTGGGCGGGGAAGGAGGCGTGGCCGAGCCGGGGAAAGGCGGGGCGAGGGCGAAGGCGAGGCTTCCGGACGATGGGAGGACCGGGAGCTGCCTCTGCCGCGTTAAGCGGTCCGAGGAAATTTCAGTCAGCCATGCAGTCCTGACCGCCGCCTAGCCAGGTACCAGGCGTGGGGGTTTTAAGGTGGGGGTGGAAGACGTGGTCTTCGAAATTTGCTGCACCTTAGAGTCACCAGGGTCGGCCATTACAAGTCTCAGTGCCTAAGGTGCACCCCAAGTCGGTGAAATCTGACACTGGAGACGTGAGGCCCAAGACTTAGTATTTTTAAAAATACCCCAAATAATGCCAAAGAACAGGCAAGTTTGTGTGGAAGAAACAGTGATCCTGTCCTCTGGGGCTTACAACCTCTGTAAGTGTTCCTGGACCAAACCGGGGGTCGGGCTGCTTATTCTCGTGGTCCAATAGGGAGATGCAGATGGACTGGGAAAGAAAAGAATTTATTTCGGTAACCGGATACAGGAAAGAGCCCTGGACAATATCGCCAGATCGACTGAGAATTACAAAGGTTTCCAGAGCTTATATACCTCTCAGCTATAAAGTGTGCATGTGTCTAAGGACATAAGGGATTAACTTATTTTAATCTATAACCAAGGTCAGTCCTGAAGACCTTCCTCTGGAGCCTCAGTAAATTTACTTAATCTAGATGGGTCCAGGTGCCAGGGGTGATGACCCTTATCTTGTCACCTGCTTAATCATAGAGGTTTGGGCAGTTCCTTCAGACGCCCAGTAAGCTTGTTTGTGGTCTGAGGAGTTTCTTCAGACCCCCAAGAAAAAGTTGTTTAATCCTGAACAGGTCCTGTTAAGGATTTCTTCTTTATCTTGTCATGCTTCAAGACCCAGGAAAGGCCTGGGCAAAATTCTTGGTAGGCTTTTGTTACATTCCAGCCTTTATATAAAGATACTGGCTCTTTCACCTGGTAATATTTAACTTAACCAGTGCTGAAACCGTGGTTACAGAGGCCTGCCTGTTCAGCTGTTAGTAAGACCTGGCCTGCCACAGATATATAAATATAAATTTGAAATACGAAAAGAGAGCAAATATAAATTTGAAATACGAAAAACGAAGGTTTAATTCTCCCTGTTGAAAAAGACGGAAAAGCACTGAGGGCTGGAGTGTTAGCACCGCCAGGTTTCCTCCATCCCTTGACTCCACCGCGCTATTATTATGCATTGGAGCCTTCAGGCTGCCAGTCCCGCCCTCAGGTCTTTCTCCCAGGCAGCAGAAACTAGCATGAGGCTTCGGTAATAGGCTTAGCTGCCAGCGGAACCAGCACCTTGAGAGCGTTGTGCTGGAAGCCACACCCAGTGGCTTCCATCTGCTTCTCACTGGTCACTCCTATCTGCAAGAGAGACTGAAAAAAATCTTTTGTAAAATTTGTAATCTGGACAGTTACACTGCATTCTCAAGACTTTAGCCTAAAGTTGCCTTCATACATATTTTAAGTTCTGCCTAAAGATTTCTCTGTACATCACAAACTATAACCTAAATGAAGTTGTAAACAGACTGCTTTTGTGCTAGTCACTGAGTTATGGCTAATCAAAGGGGCCAGCTGCTCAAACAGTGTTCAAATAAGGCAAACGCTGACTATAACAATCTGGCTGTTGCTGTACCTCACTGCCTTTTCTGTACATCACTTTCCTTTTTCTGTCTATAAATCTTCTTGTACCATGTGGCTATGCTGAAGTCTCTCTGGATCAACTCTGTCTGGGGAGGCTGCCCTATTGGTGGAATCATTCTTTACTCAAGTAAACTCTGTTAAATTTAATTAGGCTAAAGTTTTTCTTTTAACAGACTATAGGAGTTCTATTTGTAAGGGAGAATGAGAGTATAGATACTGGGTAGGGAAGGAGTTCAGAGCACACCACCTCAAAACATGCCGCTGTAGCATGTTGAGTCTTTTGAGTGAAAAGCACTTAAAAAACAAGGTGCAAGAAAGGCACACTGGCCCTCCTTTTTCTTCCTGAAAGCAGAAGATGGAAGTCGCATGTGAGAGATGTCCTCACTACACCAAAAGGAAAGAAACATTCTTATCACTAGGGATGGGAAGTCAAAGACAAGAGACATCTATACAAACAAAACTTGCTGCACTAACCGGTGTCTTCCTAGTCACTTCACCATGATTCATTGCCTGAATCTAAGCCCTTTTTTCTTGTCATTTTTTCAGTTTACTACTCTGTCCAATTTGGTATGTAAGCATTTAGCTCTAACTGCATTTTTGGGTCTTTATTTTTCTTATGAGGATTCCCATGTACAAGTAAAAAAAATATATTAATAGTCGTATGCTTTTCTCTTGTTAATCTGTGTTATGTCAGTTCCAGCCAGAGACCTTAGGAGGGTGGAAGAAAATTTTATCCATCACTCTTTAATTTCCTCATGTTACACCATTACATGAACAATTCTAGATTATTAATTCCACATTTTTTATACCTAGCTGACTTTGAAAGAAAATATTTTATTTTTATTTTTTGTATTTCTACTTTGTCTTTTTCTTACAGCTAGATGTCAAGTTTAACTTCTGGATGTCCCCAAGTCAGAATTAACTAAAAGCCTTGTTATAGAATTAGGATTGAGGATCTCTTTAAGCAGGATCATATTTCTGGGCATCTTGGGAAACAATAATGTTTTGACCAATGACAAGTGACCAACTGATCCAATAAGTTTTGGGACATCTTCATAGATCTCTGGTGCTTGTAAGTCTTCATTCAGAAGGGGGAGGGCCCAGTTGAAATAGATGGGGTGCATTCTGAGATGCCTCACTGATCAGATCTGACCCAAGGCAGATTATGTTTTTACATTTCCTATTAATCTACAGTCCTTTGGCTTGTTATTAAAAGTCTTTTTCCAGCTGACAGTTTTAAAATCCATTGCATGTACTTGTAATACTGTTCTCACTGGCATAACTTTTTGATTCTCACAAGTAGTCATAGCAGCTGAGACATATCATTCCAGAAAATCAAACTCTTTACTTTTTCAATGTCTCATGCCCTCAAATGATATGTAGTCCTGGTAGTGCTGGTTAGTTTATTTGTTTTTAACCAGAAAAGAGAGGAAGAAGAAAAAAGACTTACAATTTTCCTAGTGTTCTGTCTTTGCTGCATTGAGTCTTTATCCAAGTATACAATTTTTTAGTATTATAGTTAGAGCCCCAATCTTCTGTGCCACCAGAACTGCCCCTAACAAAGGCCCAGTGCTATGTATTATGACTAGAGGCAGGAAAGGAAGGTACCCAACATGCAAAACTTCTCACTACCTCTCTCTCTCTCAGTCTTGCTTTCTGATGTTTAAAATGCCACCCATACATGAGACAGGGGAAGATGGAAAAAAGAAGATGGAGACCTTCTCCTCAGTCATTAAATGGCTCTGTGAACTTGGAAAGTGGATGACTTTTCTTTCTCTTTTCTTTTTTTTTTTTTTTGAGATGGAGTCTTGCTCCATCACCCAAACTGGAGTGCAGTGGTGTGATCACGGCTTACTACAAACCTCTACCTCCAGGTTTCAAGCAGTTCTCCTGCCTCAGCCTCCTGAGTAGCTGGGATTACAGGCATAAGCTACCACACCAGGCGAATTTTCGTATTTTTAGTGGAGAGAGGGTTTCGCCATGTTGGCCAGGCTGGTCTCCAACTCCTGACCTCAGGTCATCTGCCCACCTCAGCCTCCCAAAGTGCTAGGATTGCAGACATGAGCCACGGTGCCCAGCCCAAAAGTGGATGGCTTCTGAGGTCACTTCCAGCTCAAAGCACTAGGTTCTTTGTCTTGTGAAAAGTATTTCCTTCTTCCTGTGAACCTGCTTAAAAAATATAAATATGATGCTGTAGAAGAGATGGACTTCTAAGTTTAAAAGAATTGAGACTGCATCACAGTTTTTCTTCCCCTACTTCTTAACAAGATGCACCCAAAATCAGTTAAAAAACAAACAAAAAACCTCTCCCCCCAAAATCACTAATAATTGCCAACAAGGAGAGAGAGATAATGGAATGCAATAAATTTTAAAACTTGATATCAAAGAGGGAAAGGAAGGATTCTGGAGCACAGAGGATAAGTATCCTGTCTCCTAATCATACACCACCCTTGAAGTCATTTGAAAAGCCACATATCTGATCATTGAAAATCTGAAGATTAACAACTGGAAAAGAGCCTTTCTTTTTTCTCTCTTCGTAGCCATGGCTCTAATTCAGTCTGGTTTCCCATTGGGAAAATTACAGAAAGTTTAGACATATTCTCTAAAGGGGTGGACTGCTCCTTGAAATGTGAAAAAGTAGAACACTGGTTCAGGGCATCTAACAAAGAAAATAAAGAGGGAGTCAAGAAAAGAAGAAACCATGCAAAGATTGATAAAGAAACTGACCTGGGAGAATACATAATTAAAGGAATAGTAATAAACTGTGTATTTGTGTATATAAATTGTATATACATTAACTAATTTAAAATAAGACCCTATAGAGAATGAATAGCAGCAACAGAAAGAGATAAACAGAGATCATCACATTTAAAAACACAAAGTGTGGATCCAAACAACACTGTTCAATACACTGAAGTACAAATAGGAAGGAATAAAGACACCACTGAAAACTAGGTTCAAAGAAAAGCTTAAGATCATCCTAATACATGCAGCTGAAAGAAAAGAAATTAAAGCAAATGTAGAGAAGCCCACTGAATCAGAATATAGAAATGATTCAACATGAGGATAATTGGTGTCTTAAATGCAGAGTCCCAAAATATGAAACAGAAGAATTTACAAGATGTAATAAAGTTGATTACCTAGAGGGAAAAAATTGAACCTCTAAATGGAGGCATACGTTGCAGTCCAGGAAAATTTATTAAAACACACTTTACAACTAGAAACATACAATTTATAGAAGGAGTTCTTCAAGCATCCAGGCAAAAAGCAAGTTGGCCACAACTGGGGAAAAAAATCAGGCTAGCCTCAGACAACTGCAGAGTAACATTCCCCCCAACTGCCAACTTTTTATTTTGAAAAATTTCAAACATACATAATGAGTAGAATACCAAATATTTATACACCTTTCACTTAAATTGGGAGTTTACAGAAGATACCAAGTGATGATGGAATTCCCTGGGGCTTGCAATCTCAGGGAACT